GCTTATTCAAAAGAAAAATTACCCAAGCAAATGGATCTCGGGGGGAATCACAAAGGGAGACAACATGACCGTACCATGAAGTAAAGGTTGCAAAAGGCCCACCTGCTAAGGAAACCCAGGCACGTGATTGGATCTTTTCTTCACATGATGCAATATCTGGAATTAGCATTTTCCTGTATATTCCAAGGAGTTCCTCGTGTTACTGCAAAGCCAGGAATATCATATAGGAAGGCTTCCCCTTTGTATCAGGAGACTCGTGCTTATTTAATGGATAGTTTTGTCGATTAAAATATTTAATGGATTTGCTTTATTTTACTTTATTCTATTCTATTTTAAAAAGAGTAATTGGGTGCCTCATTATAATGCCGACTGCATTATCATAAAGGTCGTATACATTTCGTGTAGAAGCAACTACACCAAATTATTTTTCAGTTCTGTTTAAATTAAAAAAAAAAAAACTTCACTAAATTATTTTATTTTATTTCTAAGATACCACTTGATTATTTTATTTTAGACAAGCAAATCAAAGTATTTTATTTTTTATGTTAAATTATATAATAAAATAATTTTTTTTAACTTACTTTATTCATATAATATATTATGTGACTTTCACTTAAAATTTTTTATTTTTATTAAAAAAATTTCTACTAAATTATTATTTGAATAACATCAAACATCAAAGTACTTCTTTTCTATTCACTATTCCTGCATTTCTGAGCGTGCTTCCTCAGGCCCGTGCAAGCGGAAAGCAAAGCAAACGTATGGCAAGGAAAAACAGAAAAGGTGAAATTACAGAACGGCAATTTACCGAGCCTAACCACCCAAAAGGCCGAGCTTGAGGCACCCCCTCCCCCCATTTATGTTCTGGGATTTGACCAGCATAACTTGTTGGGTTCAAAATGTAACCCTAAAATTACAGCAATGATAAAGCCCATACATGTTTTCTCCCAGCCTTAAGGTTTTAGGTGCGTTACATTTGCTTTGAAAGGCTGATATCAACTTATGATGGATTGGGTTGGATCAAGTTCAAGCTGAGGTGGTCCTTGCTGAATGGACCACTCCACCAATCATCCTCTCGTCTCACCAATTCGCATCATGGAACCACTACCCTCTATATTTTACTACCGTGAGTAGTTTATTTATTTTTTTTATTTTTTATATTGAGCACGTGACAAGGGTTTTAATTATAAATGTACTTGGTTGACCAAAATTATTATAATTATATAATATGAAATATTATTACATAATTAATTTTTTATTTAAATATTTATCTATAATATTATATACATCATTTTATTTAATATTATATTATAATTATAAGTTATATAATTTTACGTAATATTATAATTATAATATTATTATTTGGTCAATATGAAATGTATATTCTTAAAATCATGATTAAATTTGAGTTAAGTGAAACTTGAACTTAAAAATCTCCAAAAAAACAAAATTTTAATTAGTGTTATTTTTGTCATTTTCAACCAAAAATTATAAATAAATCAAGTAATTTACAAATAACTTTAATTTGAGTTTGACTTGGCTCAAGCTCGTTATAAACTAGTTTGGATACGAGTTTCATCTTGAACTCGATAATATTATCAACGCTTTTCTTTTTGTTTTTGTTTTTGGATTTTTTTTTTTAATTCATTTTGCCACACTCTTATACTGGTTGCATCGTCTGCATGAGGTAATGCCACCTCAGTCGGTCATCTTGGGCTGGGCTCCTCATTAAGAAGTAATGCATGGGACAGTAGAATTTAAATGGGCAGAATTCAAGACACCCAGCCCAAAGTAGGCATGTACCAAAAGGGGAAATGCAAGTGCATTTCGG